GAATCAGGGTTTAGGGTTTAGAGTTTATAGGGTTTAGGGTTACTCTGAAGCATTGAATTGTCTACCTGTTTCTGCGGTACAAGGTTCCTCTAGTAGGTACCCTAAACCTAACCCCTAAACCCTGAACCCGAAACCCTAAACCCAAACCCTAAACCCTAAACCCCCTGAAGCTCGAAAATGCCAGTCTCACCAGCTCCCCACGCCAGTGGGCCCTGGATTCAGTGGCTTTGGGAACCAGCTCCGCCGAGATTCGCGGTGACAGGTCATGGGGTCTTCAGCCCTAAGCGGGTTTAGGGAATAGGTTTTAGGGTTTAGGGTTATTACCTTAATGAAGCTGTCTGAACTGAACTCAAATCCTAAATCCTAGGCACTGCCCCACAGCTCTTGGTATCTCAGGGCCCACCAGAGCGATCGAGGCACTTCGTGGGGAAGCGGCATCAAAGTCTGAGGGTTTAGGGTTTGAGTTCAGGGTTTAGAGTTGAGGGTGTAGGATGTTAAGGTTTCGGGTTCCGGCAGCAAAAGCCGAGCCTGAAAGTTTGCGGGTTTATATACTTGGAGGTTCTTGGGTAGCCATAAGTTGGCCAGCTATAGCTGTAAGCGATAGAACCTGGTTTAGGTTTGGGGGTCAGGGTTTAAGTGGATCGCTTCACGATCGGCACCTAAGTGGTTCGGTGTTTTTGGCCTGCAAAACGCAGTGTACGTTTATATCTGGCAACGCTGAAAGTTGCTCTTTTCTGCAGATTTATGGGACTGATACGGTACTCTACGTTTGTTTGGGGCAACAGTACCCTTTTTGTTCATGGCACTTCATGCATGCAAAAACAGCTATCCTTGCACGGTGCCGCAAATTTCCTGCCTAGCTGGAAAGTGCCTGAAAATTCTGGCACGGCAACAAGTAGCTCCTTATAGTCTGCTACTACCACAGTCCAGGTAGAGTTTAGGGCTTAGGGGGTTTTAGGATTGAGCCGTTGCACGTGCAATGAACACCTTGCTGCAAAGTTGGAAGGCCCAGCATCTACAAGGGCCCCCTACACGCTAACTGGCTGGAGCCCGCTGTTCTCCAAAATTTTGAGCGCCATGGCTTTGGAGAAGATGCGTCGAGTTCACTGGGCCTCCTGGCGACGATGGAATGACGACTGCCTTTCCTAGAAGGGTCCTGGTACTAGGGCAGGACTGGTCGGCAAAGCAGAGTTTAGGGGCTTTAGGGTTTATGGTCGGGTTTAGGTTTTAGGGCACCCAAGTCATCACGTCCGATTTCGCGGCGTGGGCAGGAGTTTTTGGTGAGGAAGTGTACATTCTTTCCTGTTGATGACAGGCAGTTGGGTGCATGTAGACGTTACGACCATTCTATGCATGTGAAATCCTATTGGCCGGAACTTCATGTCACCTGCAATTGGTTAAACAAATATGGGAGTTTACCAGAATAAGGGACCCCTAAAAATATAGACCCCAAATAGTAGGATTCCCTTTTCAACAGGGGCCCAATAAAGTACCTCCCCCTAATTTCGGAACCCCCCCCCCCCCCCCCCTGTTCAACTGCACTTTCAATGATAAGCGCGATGACCCCAAGGCCGAGCTGCTGCCGGCCCTTGTGTATTTTGGGTTGTGTGGGTAGCCCTAAACCCTGCTCCCTGCCTGAGGGCTCTGATGTAGTTCCTTCTGGGGGTAGCTATAAGTAGCGGATATTATCATACGACCTTAACAAATCATGCTACACAGGAGCCTTGACGTAAACCCCCAAACTCTGAACCGCCCTGGGGGGGTTGGGGGGATGGGGTGTGGCGAAGAAGATTCCTGGGTTTTGGAGTACTATACTTTAATATTTTTTTGGTTCTGGGTTCCTATTATTGCTACGTATTACCTAGAAAGTATATATTTTTTCCAGGGTCTACTCCAAAGCTCAGAAATTCGAAAGCCAGCAGCAAGTATGCCACGAATGAGGGCAAATCAAACATGAGAATGACATGAAACTACAGAGAGAACGGTATGACTGTCAGTTCATTCGCTGGATGATGGTTGTGCTTTCAGTGCAATTTCGTAGGGTTTAGGGTTTAGGGTTTAGGGTTTAGGGTTTAGGGTTTAGGGTTTAGGGTTTAGGGTTTAGGGTTTAGGGTTTAGGGTTTAGCCTACTTCAGGTTCCGTTGGAGTCCAACCCGGACATGCTCAACCACTTTGCGAGGAAGGCGCGCACGCTCAGAGGCAGACAAGCCCACCTCAGCGCGAAGGTTTAGGGTTTAGGGTTTAGGGTGTAGAGTTTAGGGTTTAGGGTTTGGGGTTTAGGGTTTAGGGTTTAGGGTTCCGGGCTTAGCATCACAGCTTCATCACGATAGTATGCCTTATTTGATGGGGCTCCGGTCTCGTTGTTGGGGGGTAAGGAGGTGCTCCAAACCCATTGGGGTTTAGGGTTTAGGGTTTCGGGTCTATAAGTGTAGAATTTAGGGTTTAGGGTTTAGGGTTTAGGGTTTAGGGTTTAGGGGACCCTAAACCCTAAACCCATGAGAGGGGGTGGGGAGGGGGGTGGTGGTGAGGGAAAAGTGCCATCTTCCCCTACTGAGGCCTCTCTTCGGCTTTTGCGATTCTGATGTGGCCGTTGTGCGTCAGCGGTTTCTTCCGGCGTTCCCTAAGGGTCCATGTACCTATATAGCCTATACTTGGGCCTTAAAGGGGTTGAGCCACGGTTTAGGGTTTAGGGTTTAGGGTTTAGGGTTTAGGGTTTAGGGTTTAGGGTTTAGGGTTTAGGGTTTAGGGTTTAGGGCCCAAGTGTATGCTATATAGGTACATGGACCCTTAGGGGTTGTGTTTGGGGCCTCTACTACCCGACCTGCGGCTTCACATCAGTGAGACGTAGGACGTGCGGGTTTAGGGTTTAGGGTTTAGGGTTTAGGGTTTAGGGTTTAGGGTTTAGGGTTTAGTGTTTAGGGTTTAGGGTTTAGGGTGAGGGTTTAGGGTGTACACCAACTCTCCGGGCAAACAAAGGTCTCTAAACCTAAATCTCTTCACAAGCTTGGACGCCCAAAAAACTCAGGGCATCCCTAAACCCTAAACCCTAAACCCTAACCCTAAACCCTAAACCCTAAACCCTAAACCCACGAATCGCATGCGCGCCTGACAGCATCAGGTCGGCCTCCCCGAAGGCTTTGAGTTCGTGGACGTCTTTGGTGCGCCACAATCTGTAGGGTGGGGGGGTTGGGGGGTGATTGGATATAGGGTTTAGGGTTTAGGGTTTAGGGTTTAGGGTTTAGAATAGCTCAACCCAAAGTTGGCCCCGAGAAGTCTTGAACCACAGGCTGATTCTTGAGGGTTCTGTTGCAGTGGACTTACAAGGCTCGAGCCGCGGTCACTTCACACGTGAAACCCTAAACCCTAAACCCTAAACCCTAAACCCTGGACCCTAAACCCTAAACCCTAAACCCTAAACCCTAAACCCTAAACCCTAAACCCTAAACCCTAAACCCTAAACCTTCCCCCAAAGCCTGAAACCTTAAGCCAGCCCAGTAAGCAGGTCCTCTCTCCCAGCACGCGTCAGGGACACACGCACAGACCTGAAGGGCACCCATGTCCTGGGGCCTTTGGCTTCAGGTTTTAGGGTCTATAGGGTTTCGGGAGCAACCTCTTTATACCCTCAAAGAAAGGGAATTGCGCCTGCATTCGTGGGGTCTCGTCCGCAAAGCCGGCATCGGTTCGCTTCTGAACTCTTCCTGGGTTTCTCTGGCACCTTGGAAACTGAGTGGCCGTGTTTTAGAGGACCCTGAACCACAATGCCTAAAGCTCTCTCCCAGTGCCTCCAATACCGCTTTCGTGAGTGTGCATGTACACATGTTTTTTTTTTTTTTTTTTTTACGAAAATAAGGGAGCCCCTAAAGTAGACCCCCAGATAGTAGGATCCCCGTATAATCTGGACCCCAAAAAGTTGCCCTAATCTCGTAAACCCCCATAATATATATAATATATATATATACATAATATACATATCTTCTCAGAGACTCCAGTATCTCTTTGTTGGAGAATATTCGCTGACCCAGCCACGAGGTTTGAATGGGTCTCCCATGCCACTTCATGCGCAACCGGGGCAGATTTCCGCTGTTGGCTCCCTCGAACCCTGCAACCTGACTCTACTGAGTCCCACAGCAAGACCTAAACCCTCAGCCCTCAACCCTAGACCCTACTCTTCCCCCTCCAAAAAATGTCACCTAAATTTGAAGCCGCCCAAACCCAACACTTTACACTGAACCGGAAGGCGAAATCTCTCTCAGCCACCCTGAACCTGATCCTTGTTTAGGGTTGAGGGGTGAGGAGTTAGTCTAGACCCTGCCGAAAAACCCTGAAAATCTCACAGCCTAAGCCCGACACCCTTAAGTCATACACAGTTAAAAGCCTGACCACATAGGGTACCCATTGTAATCCTTTAAAGGGTACATCAATAAATAAATTAAATAAATTAAATAAATTAAATAAATCCATAAATAAATAAATAAATATATACATATATATATATATATATACGTGGGATTTCCCTAAATAACCTTTTAAAGGTTATAAACAGGGGGTATAGGGACCCTAAACCCTAAACCCTGAATTCCCTGAAACTACATTAGAGCCTTCAGGGTAGGGTCTAGGAGAAGCTCAGCCCCGTCTCCGCACGGAACATGGCCTCGGCCGCGGGAGATGGCGAGCTACGGCGCAGATGGTCCGGGGCTCTGGTCTGTCTTGGCTTCGGGTTTAGGGTTTAGGGTTGAGGGTTTCGGGTTTAGGGTTTAGGGTCTAGGGGTGAGGAATTAGGGGTTTAGGGTTCAGGGTTCAGGGTTTAGGGGTTTTAATTAGGGGTACAGGGTTCAGGGCTTCAGGGTTTTCAGTTTTTTCAGGGTTTGTCGCACGGGGGCGCAGTGACTTATCTTTGGAATGCGCGCTGCTACGCTCGACCAGGGCTCTTCAAACTCCAAGGGCCTACTGAAAAGGTTGATAGGGTCACCTAGAGGGGTTTAGGGTTTAGGGTTTAGGGT